AGGAAGAATATCCTGTATCTCAAAACTGTTCTTGCTCTTCTCTGCAGATACTGAGAATCTCTAGGTGTACACTGCACCCTGAAACCTGGGGCACTCTGTGTGGGTTGGGCAGCCAGGACAGACACGTGCTGGGTGCCTGGGCACACACTGGCTGAGTGGTCACTGCTGCTCCACAGAACCCTGGGGCCAGGATGAGACCTGGAGGGACACAGGGACTACTGAGACCTGTCAGCCACACAATGTTGGGAATCACACCAGGATCTGTCACAGGCTGATGGAGAGTGTTCCAGGGCTGTCCAAAAAAAAAAAAAAGTCTTTGTCTAAATCATGTACCATGGTTTAGGCTGGGCGACACTTCTGAGTAGTCTTGGGAAGAAAAGTGATTCCCTGGGGCCCTGTGATTCCAGCAGATTTACCCTGTCCTGCCGTGTGCTGAACCCAGTAGGTAAAGGATAGGACACTATGCGTCAGTATTGAAAATTGAGATATTTTGAGGCTGACTTCCTAATTCAGGAGCTGTTGGCTTTTGGTTGTTGTTGGTTGGGGTTTTTTTAAGGAAATGTAGTGCCTTCTGTTCCTAGCAAACTCACCAGGCAGTTGCAAACCATACTCCATAGTGTGCAGATAGCAAAGTTCCTACTCTATGTTGGATAGGATCTTACAAATGATCTCTTAAGTACCGTGTTTGTTTTCTTGCTGTAAAGTGACACTTGTCTTTGAAGGAAAAAAAAAACAAAAAAACCCCAACAAAATAAAACAAAGGCAAATAGAGAATAACTGGGAGCAAACAGTAGTAAATTTCCTAACAATAGCGTCTGGAAAACTCTGTGTTCCTTGCAAAAACAACCAGGAGTGCAAGAGGTTGCTGCCCAGCCCCATCAGGGGAACTTGGGGCAACCACTCTCTGACCTAGAAGAAAAGAAAAGGAGGAAGATTTGCCAACCTCCAACAAAACTTATCAACTCTAGTCACCAAAACCAGGTTTAATATGATTAAAACTGATATCAGCTGAATTTAAGAGCCATTGCCAAATGTGTTTGTGGATCAGCACAGGGGTTTGTGGCTGGGTTTGGATGTGGAGCAGAGGTCCAGCAAAGGGAGCTCCTCACAGTGGCTCCCACAGGCAGGTGGGGCTGGTGGCCAAGGGCTTCACCTCATCGCCTGGGGACGAGTCACAGCCCAAATGGACAGGAAATGGGTTTGACAGATGAGACAGGCACGGGGATAATGGCTGGGTGACTGATGGGGTGGGCTGTGTGATGGGTAGGGCCGCTGAGAGACACTACTGCGTGAGCTAAAAACTCCATTAGACTGAAACTGGAGCACTGCATGGATCCATATCCCTGGCTGAGGTTTGGGATTCACTGGATAACGGCAAGCTGCTGCACAGAACAGATTCAGAGGGCTCTTTGCACTGCAGCAGAGGGAAAAAGAAAACAAAAAACTGCATTGAACAAATAAGTCGATGAAAAGATCTGGGTGGGAATGTGAGCATTGCCTGATATGATTTGGTGTCCCAAATGGCCTTAAACAGCCCATAGAATTACTATGTCTAAAACAGATTCCAGCAAAGGAGACCTTTTATGATGCACTAATAGGCTCATTAGGCTTTCTCCAGCAAGGCATGCTCACAGCATCGTATGTTTTTTCCATTACAGGAATTACACGTGTTTTGTTGTGCTTTGGGTTTTGTTTTGTTTTCCACATAGACTTGCCCTGACAGTTCCCCCATTCAGGTTTATATTGGAGGTACCATCTCAAGCCAATGAATTTTATGAAATATGTTGCTGGCACTCACAGAGAGATGCATAAAGGAAATATTCTAATGACAGTTGGAAAGGCTTTGATCCCTTTCCAAGACTGCACTCATGTCTTTGAAATGCGAGTTTGGCAGTGCTGGAAAGGCTGGGCTCTCTGGCTCTCTCTGGCACGAGCCCATGTGACAGACATAATGTCCTCTGTCAGGGGACCCACATAACCTTGAGAAGTGTAAGCAGTGCTCGCAGATTGCACTGGGTCAGATAGTCTGGGCTGATAAAGAAGCAGGGGGGAGTCAGCCTAGTCCAAAGCAATAACTGAAAGCTGTTTTGACCTGGTAACTGTTGGGTCTGCTGCCTGCGGTTACGGAGTTGGACATGAACTGCAAAAGTAGTTAATTTATGCCTCCTTGAGTGTAGGAATGTGGCGATGATGGATAGGGATGGGAGGTTATTAGAAACATGGGGAGGAAGGAGAGGAAGGAATTCCAGCTCGTGTTTTTATCTCTTACACACGCACACACTGGTTCCTCACATTTTCTTGTCTGCCTCACGTGTGTGCAGTGTCCAAACCCTCACTGCCACACTCACATCTCTGCTCCTGCACGCTCACACAGCACACACTCACACACTTCCCAGGGCTCTGCCTGAGCTCAGGACTTGGGCATGTTTACGTGCTGGGGGTTGCTGGCTGCTTCCATGAAGGAGTTTGCATTTATTGCCTTCCAAGCATGATCTACTTGCACCTACACCCGGGCAGATCCTTCGCTAAAAATCCTCTTGGCATTCTGATCTTCCACCACTGAATATATCCTGCTCACTCAGAGCCTTCCCCTGGCTAGCAGAGAAAAGTGGTCAGAGAAATATCAGAAAGTCAAGTCCAAAGGACTTAGTAGGATGGATTTACATAAGGCATGAGTCCAGTCTCAGTGAAGCATTGCCATCACTAGCCAATTAGTTAAATGCTGTCTGCTCTGGATGTTTTTTGCAGTAATAATCCATGTAGCCCTGGAAGTTGGAACACATGGGCTGTATGGAAGAGAAAGAGCAACTGTGGCCATGCAATGAGGAGATAAATGGGGATTGGATTGTGTAAACAATAAGCAAAGAGACAGCTAAGAATAAAGAAATATAAGTTTAGATTATTTGAAACCATGAGTGAAGAGGAAGGATAAAAATGGTAATCTCAGGAGGGGAGTTGGATTATGGTTACTCCTACAGGGATTTGCATGTGCATAAAGCATCTGCATCCAGAGCCAACAGCACCGTCAGTCCAGGCAGCAGGACCTTCCTTCCCGCTGGGATACCAACACATAAACATTATTCTAGTCAGACTAGGGGCTTCTGTTTCTGCCCCTCTTCTTTCACAAAACATCACATCACTCCCACATTGTCTCTTACATTTTTGCTCACTGTCAGTGATGCTGCCATAGGTGCAGGCACGCACTGTCCCCTCCCCATGGTCACACCCCCTGTCACACATTCCCTCAATGCTCTCACACTGAGAATATTTGGAAGTGCACATTGGTTCTCACATGGAATTTCAAGCTATTGCTCATGGATGTGTCTACGTAGGAGCCCATGCTTGGAAAAGATGTTTTCTAAGGCACAAAGAAGATCCTGGGAGTAGATTGAGCAGAGCCTCAGAGCACTGTGCCAATCCAGGCAGGACAAGCTTGAGGAGCTAAGGGGAAGGTCTGTGTATTTGCCATGGATGTGTTGAGAACACTGGCGAGATGAGAAATGTGTAAAGGGTCACAGTACTGACCTGTCCTTCAGGATGTCATCCCCATTTGATTGGAAGATAAACACTGTACGGAACGGAAACATCCCCTTCCACTGGTGTCCCCAAAGAGCACGTCTTCCTCCATGAGTCAGCCAGGGCCTGGGGACACCCAGCCATGATCTATTTTGGAGGCAATGACTTCAGCAAGTGGCAGGGGAAGCTATTGTGGAAATATGAATGTGTTTTCCATTTGGGAGTCCTCCGGGGAAGGACAAAAAGATCTTGGTGCTGAGCCAGCTCCCCCATTTTTTTCTTCACCCTTCTGGGAGCAAAAGCCTTGCAAAGTATGCAGGGAACCCTTCTCAGAGCTTGTGGGGGTGTGTGGTTTGGGAGAGCTGTGTGAGCCTTACACACATCCATGCACACTCACAGAGGAGGACTCCAGGAAGCAGGAATCAGCCTGCTCATGGCCATGGTGGTGTCAGTTCCTTACAGCCTTTGAACTGTGCTTGGCTCAGTGTGATCCCCCTCTCTAGGGTCTCCACCTGTCAAGGGAAGATACTACAACATAATCCCCTTCTAGTTTTTCTCCTATCACAACACTTCATATCAAAAGCCAATGAGAGCTGGAAACAGAGAACCAATGGGTTTAATCTTACATTTTGTTTTCTCCAGCTTTTCTATGAATTGGGGCAGTGCAAGCAGTGTGGCACCATGGTATGTGCACTGACAAGTACCTCCTGTATTCCAGTACTAAATCTACTCCTTTAAAGGAGCAAAAAGTACCTCCAACAGCCATCAAGGTTAAGGGATTGGTTTAGCTTGTCTGCAGACAGATTGCTCTGTGATTTCCAGGCATCCCAAAAGCTAAGGAGAAATGCTGCTCACCCTAGGAGGACCTGAGGAACCTTAGGAATTTATGTCATGGTATGGTACCACTGCTGGGGAGAGCTCATGAAAAGAAACCTCTTGGCACAACTTTGCCTGTTGGGAACAGCAATTCCCAACCAGCTGTGGGATGTCAGGGTTAGGCCACGTGGGTTTCAGCACCAGTGTCTGCCACTGGTGCTAAAGGAGTGGCTCTGTGAGCTGGTGTCAGTTGTGGTGCCAGCCTGAGGATGTGAAACTTGTTCTTGTGAAAGAAAATGAGAGGTAACAACAACAAACATCTTAGGGAAAATGTGCAAGCTAACTGCTGGTGTAAAAAGATTTACTGACCATAATACTTGGTTAATTACATTCATAATAAATAGATTCCTATACTTATCTTGAGAATGTGGACAGCTTTATGTATTTACCTTGGATTTTGTGGCCTTAGTTAATCAATGGTCTGAAGTTTTAGATGAGATTCACTACAGGAATGCAAAGTAATCAAAGTTTGGGAGTGGGTTATTAAAACATTTCAGGTGATTGATATGGAGGGTATTGTAAGACCTTTGCCTGGATTGCAGCACTTCTTCAGTGTTCTGCTGCTTTTGTGTCACCTTTAGGAAAAAAATGCTTTTCTTTTTCTACAGGGCATACTTGGATGTCAATGAACTTAAGAACATACTCAAACTGGATGGATCCACACACCTCAACATCTTTTTTGCCAATTCCTCTGAGGAAGAGCTGGCTGGAGTGGCAACTTGGCCCTGGGACAAAGAAGCCTTGATGCATCTAGGTGAGTGATAAAGATGTTTCTTCTTTGCAAAGCATTCTTTTGAGGCACTAAGAAGGAAAGACAAATATGCGTTAAGCTCTGTTCTGATTTCTTATCATTCCTCTAATATATAGTCAGGGGAAAAAAAGTATTTCATGATTCCCAGATACTGGCTCACAACCAGGAAAATATTAGGTTATAAACCCAAAGCATATTATGGTATTTGTAGATGATGTCAAGCTGAAAGTATTTCACCTTTTCAGTGAAGCTACTTTACAGGGCATTCACTCCATGGGAGCAGTTTGCAGGTTGGGGGATAGGTGTGGGGATGAGACAGAGGTGAATCTTTAACCTTAGCTTGTTACATTCTGATCCTTAGTTCATTAGCAAGTATTCAATTAGCTCACAGACTGTAGCTAAAATCTGCTGCTATTTTTCTCTACCAATGTGCAAAAGAGCAAACAGCTTAGGGATTGTATTTCTAATGTTCACTTGAGTGGAACTGGAAGGAGTTTACTACCCTGCAGATTGCCTGGTGTGTTTCATAACCAGGTTGCTGCTGGAACCTGGGGATCCAGACAAAGCTCTGCAGCCTCCCAAATGACTCACTGCCACCTGCAGTGCCACTGGACCTGTGCTCCCTGCAAAACGTCAGAGGAGCCTCAAAAGGTTCAGAAGGCACTGACTGAGTCAGTGTGAACTTCTCCTAACTTCGCAAACATCCCTCCAGCTGCAAACCTGGCCTGGTCATCTCCTCTGAGCAGGAGGTCACATAGGTTTTTCAAATATTTCACCAACTCATCCAGACTCTCCTAGGCTGGAAGTGAAGTCCAGTTTAAGTCAAGTTAAATCTGTGACAGACTGTTTCAGCCAGTTTTTTATATTACCCAACCCTGTGTTGAGCTAAATAAAAAAGATATGGTGACTATAAACCTATATGAGGAGAACAAGCAGTGCTTATTATCCTAAAACATACAATGGAAGTTGAGCTGTGTGGAATAACCATCAGTCAGAGAGGCTTTTCCAAGGTCAAAAATACCCCAAAGATGGGATGTTACCATGTCTTTATGGTCACCTGTCCCTGCAGCAGAGAGAGGCTCCATGGTCAGACCAAGCAGTTGGCACTGGCTGCCCTACTTCAGTTTATTAAATGTTTTATTACAACATCCAGCTCTGCAGCTGCTCTGGAAGAAGTGTGAGCAAATTTCCCTTCCCAAGGAGCAGCATTTACACACTGACACTCCTGCTGAGCTCAGCTGGAACTGAAACCACTTCCACCCTGGCTTGCCTGCAGCCTCATCTCTGGGGCTCCTACTGGGAGTGCTCAAAACAGAAGGGTCCTGTAGCTGCCCAGCAGTGAGCATGCCCCAAGACAGCATCTGGCAAAAACAAAGATAGCTCTCAACCCCAGCCTTGACCAGCACCCACAGTGATGGGATTTCTATCACTTTGGGATGACAATCAGCGTGGATTTCTGGTTGTGGGTCTGATCCTTGTGTGGGCCATTTGCTGAAGAGTTGGACTCAATGATTCTTGTGTGTTCTTCCCAGCCCAGAAAGTTCAGAGACTCTGTGAAACATTAGCCCCAGTGTCACTGCACAAGTGGGATATGGCTGCAATGTAGCTGCTCCTTCCTTAAATGAGGATTTTCACAGCTTCCCTTGGTGTTGCCATGGGAGGGAGCAGAGAACAAGGGGAGAGCTCCAGAGTGCCAAGAAGAACCTACTGCAAGAGGGCTGGGGCTCGCCCAAAGCCCTGATGAGTTCTTCTGTCACTTCGTTAAGCTAATTGTCAGCATCATGCCTGAGCAAAACAATTTAAATTCAGCTCCTACAGAGCATTGACAGAGTTCATTGACCAAAAAAAAGATCTCACAAGAAAAAAATAGACATTGGACAGCAGATAAAATTTGACTTGCTAGAGGGAAAAAAAAAAAGTAAAAAATAAATAAATAATGCTCATAATTTCCTGTCATAATAGCCCTCCCAGACCTGTGCTTCGTTTGTAAGAATTCATCTTTAATCTTTTTTACTCTCTTCTATAAATCCAATATGTACTTAATAAAAAATATGAAATATGTCCTGTGGTGCAGATCTAAAGGCTGGGATAGAGATTGTCTGGGTGAGGGAGTTTATCTTTTCTGTAAAACTGCAATTGATTTAGATTCTTGACAGCTATAAAAAATATAAATTTTCAACAAAGGCAAAAATAAAATCTCCCTCTCCAGCTGCCTCAGGGCTCTCCAATGCCAGAACAATTTAACCAGGCTTTACTGGAGGCATATCCTGCTGAGGAATTTCACCAATATTCCAGCCACTGGAAAAAAAAAAAAAAAAACAAAACAAAACCAAAACCAAAACAAAACAAAAACAAAACAAAACAAAACAAAACCACCACCTTCTGTAATTCTTTTTGGGATAGAGGACCCAAAAAAATATGTCAGGGTACGCTCTGCCTATAAATGGCTCCACCTGGGTAGAGACCAAACACCAGAGGAATCACAGCTTGTATTGTATAGGAAGGGAGAGAGAGAAATCATGGGTTTATTGTTGAGCTGCATGCTGGTAGGTCTGTATATAATTAATTGGGAATGTGGAGAACTGGTGCGAGGAACAGTTCAGTGCTACGTGTGGCATAAGACACAAGATGCTGCAGCGTGGCAGATTTTATTTACTCTTTTGTGTACATATTTACATTTTCTGTTCACTTTTTTGAAATAGTTTTTATGGATTTGTACCTGCCCATGGGACTCCTCTCCACCCTGTGCACATTTTCACATGTGCCCCTGCTCAGAGGGAAGATCTTTTTTCTCCTGATATTTTGTGCATGTGTTCCTTCAGGACATTCACATTTCTCCTTCAGCACTGACACAGCTTTCAACTGAAGTGCTGCATGTTGTGTTTTGGATATTGTTCTTAGAGGAAGACCTGAGGTAATGGGGAAAATCAAAGCAGAACCACAGTCAGGGAGGTCTAGGAAAAGGGTTGAGCTCCAAGGAAAGACTGAAGGGATTACAGTGATTCAGGCTGAAGGGAAAGAGCCTGAAGTGGGGATGATGACAATCTCATAAAAGTTGATGAAAGGGGAGGAGAATCTTCTGTTCTTCATATCCGTGTGAGGAAGGACTTGAAGTCATGAACTTAAATTGCCAAAAATCAATTCAGATTAGATGTGAGTTAAATCCTTGCAGCTGTAGGGATGCTGAGTGCTGACATTGATTGCTGGGGCAGTCATGTTATCAGGGGTTGTGAACAGGCAACAGACCAGAGTGTGTGAGGGATGGTACAGACCTAATTGGCTTGTGAGTGGAATTTAGTGGACTTCTTAAGAACTTCATGGTCTCATTTTCCTCTAATTTCATGGTTTTTACAACCAAGTCCCCAGGCAGATGAGGATGAAGGGTCTATGGTGCATCAGAACCCGGTGATCTCATATTCCCTGTGCTACAGCACTGATAAAGTTCCCGCTGCCAAAACCTTTTCGCTCCTCATTGTCTCTAAATTATTAGAGTACCATGTCCAAGATCTATATTCCCACTATAACTTTTACAAAGCAGTCTCCTCTTCTCATGGAAGGCAGGACACAAAAAGGGTATTAAATAAAGGGCCATCAGGGGTTGTGAAGAGGCAACAGGCCAGAGTGTGAGGGATGGTACAGACCTAATTGTCTTGTGAGTGGAATTTAGTGGACTTCTTAAGAACTTCATGGTCTCATTTTCCTCTAATTTCATGGTTTTTACAACCAAGTCCCCAGGCAGATGAGGATGAAGGGTCTATGGTGCATCAGAACCCAGTGATCTCATCTTCCCTGTGCTACAGCCACTGATAAAGTTCCCGCTGCCAAAACCTTTTCTCTCCTCATTGTCACTAAATTATTAGAGTACCATGTCCAAGATCTATATTCCCACTATAACTTTTACAAAGCAGTCTCCTCTTCTCATGGAAGGCAGGACACAAAAAGGGTATTAAATAAAGGGCTTAGAAAAGTTGAGATCAACAAGCTAAATAATGAAAACATCAATCATATTTTAAATACAAAGGTACACCTAACTGAGCTAAAAATATAGTTCATATGATTAATTCAATGTACTGCAAGTCCTCACTAATTTGCCATTTGCTTATTTGCACATCCCTTAATTCATACAACAGAAAACACCTTTAGTTTTCTTTGCAAAAAAAACATTTAATAACCACATAGTTCTTTCAGGGTTATCACATTCCAGGATTTCATATTTTTTTGACACTTTAGACTTAATGCATATTCATTAGTGGACTGTGCAGTTCAGATCAAGCCAAGCTTGTCTGAATACATGAACAGTGTGTTTCTGACAGTTACTTCAAAGCTGCCTCCAAGACACCCTGAAAAAACTGCTCCAGCCTTGGGTGTGCACACTTTGCTTTGCCCAGCTCTTAATTTGCAAGTATTGGTGGAGCATTCTGCAGTTCTCAGGGTGTTTCAGAAGTTAATAGGCTTTTCTCACATCTTTACCCTGGGGAATATTATACAGAGTGTTCCAGGTGTGTTTTGTTTGACTCTTGGTGTCAAATACATTGCTTACACCTTTCTGGGCAGAGTCACACTCTCAAAGCACATGAAATTATCTAAAATAGCATACTAAGAAGTAATTTCATGCAGGATTTTCCTCTAAGTTAACCAAAAAAAACCTACCTTGAGTTTATTCTGTTGAAATAATAGTTGTTGCAGTGTTTTTGGTTTGGGATGTCGAGCTTTGTCCCACAGTTCCTTCTCCTTAGAGCCCCAGATTAAGGGTGAGATGAAACTTTGCTGGGCAGGAAATATGTCTGGTTCTGCAAAAAACTGTCTGTGCTGCAGAGGATCCAACAAACTGCCAGAGGAGCTACCCTTAGGAAGCTGTTCTTTCCCCTTTCTCCTGCTGTCCTGAGGAACACAAGGCAAACCTAGAAGCCATTCTCTTTCCCCTTGCAGGTGGCATCGTGCTGAATCCCTCCTTCTACGGAATCCCTGGCCACACACACACCATGATCCACGAAATTGGGCACAGCCTGGGGCTCTACCACGTCTTCAGGGGCATCTCTGAGATCCTGTCCTGCAGCGACCCGTGCATGGAAACAGAGCCCTCCTTTGAGACTGGAGACCTCTGCAGTGACACCAACCCTGCTCCTAAGCACAAGCTGTGTGGGGACCCTGGGCCTGGCAATGACACCTGTGGTTTCCACAGTTTCCTGAACACGCCTTTCAGTAACTTCATGAGCTACGCAGGTACTGGCCTCTGCTTGGGTTGCTGGGGGGGTCTGTGGCTGAGCAGGAACAAAGAATTGTGATATTACCCCTTATCATAGAGACAGGCGATCCCCCAGCCAGGGAATAATGTGCTCTGACTCCATGATTCAGAAGGCTGAACAATTGCTTTATTAAGCTATACTATATTACACTAATACTATACTATAACTACACTAAAGAGATGCTCAAGAAAACCCCGTGACTCTCTCAGACAGCCAGGACACAGCTTTGACCCAATTGGCCAAACAATCCAAACAATCATCACCTTCGGTAAACAATCTCCATAACACATTCCACATGTGACAAACAACAGGAGCAGCAAATAGAGGTAAGAATTGTTTTCTCACCGTCTTTCCCAGGAAAAATCCTGGGAGAGTGAATTATGTCTCTCTCTGTTCAGAGAATGTGAATACCACAACCCCTGATTTCTCAGTCCACTTCTTTATGCTGATAAAGGTCTAGGTCCCGGCTTGATGAGGGATCAGACCTGATTGATCAGAAATCCCTTCTAGTTCTTCTTTTCTTTTATCCCAGTTTTCCTCAAATTCACAGAGTTTCATGTGAAGACCAGGCAGAAGTTTTGGGGGATGGAGGAAATGAGATAAGCATTAAGAAAACAGCTTCTAAAGGCTCTACAGCAAACCTGACACCCTATTTCTCTGAGATCTGGATGCCTGATGTATGAGGTCTTTGAAAAACTCAAATCCAGAGACTGTTTATACTCTCCCAAGGAGATATTGAATGTCATATGAATATTGATACCATCAAGGCTGTCAGATAACCCTGTGACAAGTGGACAACTAATGACGCACTGCCCATGCCTCCAGGTGTCTGTTGAAATGCCATGTTTAGGTTTGATTTGGAATCACATCCCAGTTCCATCCTTAGGATGTGAATAGTGGGATTCTGCCTGGTCAAGGACTACCAGTGTGCTGTGCTGGTTTGTGCTGGGAGTGCAACAATAGAGGCTCCATATCAATGTGGTATGACCACCCCTCAAAGCAAAAGCTGATATGGTTACAACTCTCAGGCACAGCTCTGCTGACCAGATGTGCATTCTCCCAACAGAGCACATCCCAAAGAGGGCATTTGCTCCTGTGACCCTGTCCCATTGGATGAGGCTGGAGTGGGGACACTGATGCACCTCTGGAAGCTCAAGGAGAGCTGAAAGCTCCTCTGTTATTTCTCAGAAGGAGCAGGGGATACCTTGAGACGTATTTCCCCTTATTTTGGGCTGCAGGGTCTCTCTGTGGTGACAGTCTATGACAGTGAGCTGACAGAATCAACAACATTTTAAAGGCAACCAATATACTTACAGACACTGAAGGGCACCTTTATACTCCAGGCAAAAACACAGATTTCCCACTCAAAAGGTCACAGGAGTGCTTATTCTGTAATAAAACTGTAGAGAAGCAAAGTGTTTAATGTCATCTGGGGCATGGATTGAAATGATTTATAACCAAAATGCTTTTATGCCCTTTGTGGCACTAGCTAAAAGCAATGCAGAGTTTTCTCTCTATTTTTCTGTTTGTTTAGAGGGTGTTTTCAGGGACAAACACACCGAGTCAGCTCCTCAGTGTGCTCTGTGCTGTGGTGCCTGTGATTGTGCAGGGAGCCTGAGCACCAAGTCCAGCCCCATGGTAACATCCCTCAGATGAGACAGGGCCACTCCAGATGACAAAATCCCCCCACCAAATCTGTTCGTATGGATGTGGTGAGCAGTAGAGCATGCCTGTTTCAAAACTCTGAGCTCTTATCTTCCAAAGAGAACTTGCCTTGCCAGCTGACTCGGGAGCTGAGGCAGAGGCAGACCACAGAGATACCCATCTGCTCCTGGGAGCTACATGTGTGCTGGTGTTCTGAGCTGAAACCTCTTCTTTTTCCTTGAAAAATTAAGTGAAGCAACATGATAGATATCTCTAGAGCTCAAGCATGAATCTGTTTGCTTTTCTGTTGTTGCCAGTGGAGTAAAATATATCAGGATATCAAATTGCTGTCAAAATACCTTTGAAACATGTAGGTTGAGGTCATGCAGTTCTAGGAATTGCCTTTCTTTCATTTCTGTTTTGCTGCTCATGTACAGCTTGATCCTATTGTATTTGTCTCTCTGTTCCTGTCCAATCCATCTGTCCAGCTACCCCCAGCACTGAGCAAAGTGACTTTGACTTATAATTTTTATTTTTCCTGGAATAACAAGTTACAATTGCCAAAAGATTAGGTAGTGTGAGAAATAGGACTTGTAAATTATTTTTACAAGTCCAAATATCTGTGGTGTTCCCAAATAAAAGATAAGTTAGTATTTTAGATGACTTTTCATGAAATCATTATGAATTCTTCCTCTGAATTCTGTTGGAGTAATCATCCCAGCAAAGTATAGAATTTCTCTAATTATTGCTTTATCTGAGGATCTTGAACCTTTCTTGATATTGAGTGGAACACCTTTCTCCCTCGCCTCTCCTCCCTTCCCCTCCCCCTGCACACAGGCTGTGCTGATGTTTAAACAGATTGAGAATGCAGGTCATCATTCTCCTGTGCCATTGTCCCACTGCTTTGTCCTATATATATTTTATTGTTCTTTTATGATGGCTATTAAGGGCCTTTGTCTCCTTCTGTGCTTCCGTGAAGAATATTTATGGCTTTTACAGCGTGCTCAGGGATAGACCATTGATAATTATTGAGGAAATCCAGAGATGTCACATTAAAGCAGCTTTTTGCATATCCACAGGGATTTGTAGATATTATCAAGAGGGTGGTGTGTGTCTATCTGCTGTGCATGTTTGATCAGAGGAGTGTCACTGCTCAGTGGAATTGGGAGGAACACAGGAAAACACGTGTGCTGGTGTGTCCCTACTGTGGGAGGGCTGCTGGATCCCGACTGGAGCCGTCTCCTTTTGCCTGCATCTCTGGGAAGATGTGGCCAGGTTTTAAATTAGCCAGCAAATACTCATTTGTCTTTAGAAGAAATTCATATTTTCTTGTTCCTCTGCAGTACCACAGGGCATGGACTTGTAAACATCACAGCACCTCCTAATGCTGTCACAATATTGAACTTACACGAGCAGCCTCCGGTGACCTGCATCTTCCCAGAGAAGTGCAGCACTTGACCTGGGCAGAACTGTCATTGTTGTTTGGATCCCAGCTGGGACCAAGCTCTGCCAGGCTGGGAACTCTGCAGGCACATGTGAAGAAACACTCTGTGTTTTCAAGAGCTTTTCATCTGATGGGAAGAACACCAGAAAAATGGTTGAAGTGCTTAGCATCAAGTTCCTCAGCATAGCTTTGCTGGGTGACTTTGCACAACATATTTATTCCCTCTGGGATCTGCACAATAGAGAAACAGCAATTTTCTACTTCTCTGGGGCACTGTAGTTGTAAAGCTGTATGGTGTTCAGAGGGCAGTGGATGTGTTCTTGTTGCCAAATCATGTTTGAGGAAAACAAGATGAAATGAGAAATGGGTATTTATGGGAAGTTATCCAGCATAATTATTCCTCCATTTTGAATGAAAAATAAATAAGAAATATCAAGAAATGTTTGTGAAAAGTTCAGAAAGGGGTTAGAATCATAGTGGCAATGGGGGAGAATTTATAGAACTAAAGTTATTTTCTGCACCAAAAACATACGTTTTTATCAGTGTTTGAAATTATATTTTGAATTGATCTTCCAGAACATTTTTATTTGCTCATTAGAAAATTTAAGAACTTTAAAATTATGTATTTTAAAATGCTATGGTGTTTTAATCTAACAGAACTGACAGTCTGTTGCCCTTAGTTTGCATGACTACCAGTCAGTATTTTCTCCTTTACTCTTCCATCTTCCTTATCTCTTTCTGAGAGATATTATTTTAAATGTGAAATTCTTTTAAACCCAGAGCTCCACTGGTGGCCCAAATCCTGCCCAGAAGGTGCTGCACTGAAGCTTTCTGTTTCTTCCCCTCCTTGTCTCTGCCTGATTTAGAGATGATCTCTGGGTGCTTCAGGTGTATCCCAGGTCAGGGGGAGGGAACGTTTATTGATTTATTTCCTTCCTTTTCAACCATTGTTTCTTTTCACCTGCCTCCACAAGTGATGGCTGCGCTAATTCCTTCACAGCCCATTAACTCTGGAGTGCTGTGGGATCCCAGCCCGGCCCTTCCAAGCAGCTGCCATTCACCAGGTCGTAATTCTTCCCCTTGCTCCCACCTCCTGTCCCACGTGGCTGACGTGGCTTCTGTTTGAATTCTAGATGATGACTGCACCAACTCCTTCACGCCCAACCAGGTGGCCAGGATGCACTGCTACCTGGACCTCGTCTACCAGAGCTGGCAGCCCACCAAGAAACCGGCTCCCGTGGCAATTGCCCCCCAGATTGTGGCTCGCACCTCCACCTCTGTCACCCTCGAGTGGTTTCCACCCATCGATGGCCACTTCTTTGAAAGGTGATCATGCTCTGCTCTGTACTTTCATGCTGGAAAAATGGGAAGGGGAGAACTGGAGGCCCCACTCCAGGAGCGCAGCTTGGTCATGTGCTGTGCTCAGCCTGACTTAAGGCTCTTTCCTAAATTGGTTCATACTGAGGAGGTTATTGATCTGTTGTCTGCTCTTCCTTTCTCAGCCTGTAGCACTCAGTTGAAGGCCATTGATTTGCCATGTAAAGGGCAAATCTTTCTCCATATGTTATGGGAGGAATTTTCAATCAAAGATTCCGGCCCTGTGATTCCTGCTGTTGTTGCTGCTCACGAATACCTGTGGGCTTCCGCTGTGCCTGCATGTTCCCCCCTCCTCCCCTTGCACATTCCCTTTGCAAGGACAAAGTGGATCTTGTTTTTACATCACAGAGCTCATGGGCAAGGAGGTGGTTGGAGTGGGGACAGGGACAAATGCTGCCTCCTCCCCTGAGCTGCAGATGTGAGATGGTAATTGAGCAGGGCAGAGTCAAAGTCCCAAACCCCTGGATAGGATGTGAATCTCCTGTAGTTCAGTGTAGGGGTGTGTATTCCTGTCTGGCAGGCATGCAGCTATGTGATATCAATAATGGAAAATGGAGGGCTCTGGGCGGGAGTTGCACCTCATTGCAGCCCATATTCAGTGCAATTCTGCCCCAGTATGACCCGAGTAACTGGGTAGCTCATCTAAATGCTCTTATGCAGCTCTTGGATGAGCTGCAGGAGCTATGGGAGTCCTGGCAGAGAACTTCCCAAATCACTGACCTTCTCGCATTACCATTAACTCACATCCCCGTTTGCACTTCTTCTCCACCTCTTGCTTTGTTGTTTTATAGAGAGCAAACTTGGAGTGTCCTTCAGGACCGCAGCAGTTCAGAGCACAGGAGGCCAAATTTACAAGCGTATTAGCACCCAAAAAGCTGCCTCAGCATTGCACTGCTGCTTTGTGCTGGGAGAGCACCTTGAAACCATTGCCTCCATCAAGGATGAAACTCCTTCCAGCACCGCTAGGACACCATGGCCATTTCAGTGGCCAGCTTGTGCTTTATCCCACTAGACAGAGAGCTGTTATTTTCTGCTTAGATGAGATTTTCCACCCTTATTGGAGATTAATATGGGGAGGGAAATCAAATCCTGTTAGGAATTGATAAAGAGAGTTCTTGTGCTCTGAACAGTGTTTGCTTTAATTATAGTTTTGTAACCAAATCCTTTTATTCCCTACCTGTGAAAAGGACTCATATAGTTCTGAAAATTAATTCAGAATTTTTCAGCCTATAATCATTTTTAGGTTAATTAAGTTTCTCCAATTTAATTTAGATTTCAGAAGATGCTTATTGTGTGTTAAATAAATGCCATCTGCCTCTAAAAAACACATTGATGCAGAGTTAATTGTTATGTAACCAAATATGACTTTATTACATATTTCTTATAACTCAATCAATATGTTCTTAATAACCTCTAGTTACTTGCTTCTTAAATAACACACAGTGGATAGCCTGTTAAATCTAAAATTTCATAACAGAGTTATCATATGTTAAATAAAGAGTGATTTTCCAGGAAAAAAAAGTCCTTTGGGTTTTCAAATCTGTGTGCTCAGTATTACTGAAGAGATTTAAAGAGACAGCCTCAAATACTTTGAGTCCAATTCCTTGTTAAAATGAGATTCCCACTGCTAACGGACACAGCAATGTTGCCGTGACCATTTAAAAATGTCACTGAAACATATAAATGACCCTGTCTAAAACATGCCCAAATTTTTGATCTGCTAATCAAAACAAGGATGATAGTATTATTCTAGTGACTAATCCTGGAAAAGCCCACGTGCTGAACTTCCAGAACCGCTGTGTCCAGCACTGCTCGGTCAGAGACTCATGCCTGTATCAATTTGTGAAATTGGGTCACTGTGCAAGACAAGTAGGAGGTAAAATTGGCCAAGTATAATCTTATCTGTGTGTGGGAATACTGTAAATCTTTGCAGATATTTTTACACAAAGTGAACACCATTGGCCCAAATTTTACTTGCCTCACTTGAATGAATAAACTCATTCACTTCAATGGGACTATTCATGTAAAAAACAGAAGACTGATACTCAGCTGCTGAGTGCCTTGGGCCTGGTTTCTAATGCACAGAGGCCCCTTCCTTGCTGTTTTGACAGTGTAAAAGAGCCTTCAAAGGATGAATGGCTCTGGCTACATTAGCAAGTGTTGTGGCCCAATAGAAGTAGATCTCCAGCGCAAAACAGTTGTTAATGAAGACCTGACGTCAACACCGCAGGGGCTGGGGGCTCACGGTGCTCCCACAGGAGCACATCAGGTGTGGTCCTGCAGCACACCTCCACTCTGGTTCCTGGTAAAACTGGGTCCAGCTTCTCTGCTCCAGGACTGTTCTGAGTGCTGGAAGCAGGGAACAGGGGGAATTTCACTCCCAGAGCTCACTCCTGATCCCAATTATGATGCTGCTGTGGGCGTGCTCAGCGTAACTCAAGTTCCTTTTATGTCTCTTTTATTCTCCAGAGCTGTGCACAGGCAGTGACCTCTGCTTAATGAAAGTCAGGGAGGGAAAATTTAGCCTTCTGTTTAAAAACGTAGCACTGGGCTAGCTGTGTCTGTGGGAGGTCCTGACAGGTTGAAGGGAGATGAGGCATGGAAAGTAAAGACTGTGTGTCTGTTCCCTGCTTAGATACAACTCTGTCGTAGGTGAATTAGATGCTTTCCTCGTAGGGTCTTCAAATTACCTGATTACTTATGTGGATTTAGGGGCAGAGAGCAATGTTAACTCCTAGTTCCTGTAAATTTGGGGGTGGCTCTCCTGTGTTCTCCCAATTTAGCAAAAGTAGACACAAGAGTTTTGCCCAGGAGTAAAATCTTCTTCCTGGTGGACCCCTCTGGCCTCTTCAGAGTGTTCTATTGATATTTGCTCTCTCACTCTAAAAAGTCACTTACCTGCATGTAAATTTGTCAGGATGCTTTGACCCTAAGCTCCAGCAACTGGTTGGGCTCCCAGACATCCCTAATAATCAAATATATCAAGAACCAGCATTTCTTCTTGTAGCTCCTGTCCACAGGATTGGAATCCTTCCCGTTCTTCATCCTCCCTTTGAAAAAAGCATGAAAAAATGCACACACAATAACATGTAATAATAAAATAACAATAAAGCAAAAGAAACAAGTCAAAACAAGCCAGAAAAAGAGAAGTCCCTTCATTTCCTGACTGCACCCATTGGATATGTTCATCTGCTGTCTCTGAACATCCATTCATGCACCTCCTGTCTGAGATGCGTGGGCAGATGTAAACAGTTATTGTCATGGGGCTCTGCAGCAAATTCAGGCAGAAATCTTTGAATGCATCTTTCTTCAAGTTTTCATTGAGGTGACAGCATTAATTTCCATGAATCTGATTCTATCTCATTCTTAACAAGCAAATATTTTGGTCAGTGTGGTGTCCCAGAGATGGCTGGGCTTGATAATCGCTCTGTTAAACCTTGCTGGAAAGTTTCAGCGCCTGACAGGGGAGAAGACCAATCCTGAATTTCAAGTATAGCAGCTCAAATTTAGTCTGTAAACAGGCACTCTTTACCCAAAGGAATGACAGATTTTTAGTGATTTTGAGTTGCCTACTGAACTGGTGCTGGCCCTGAAGGAAATGGTCTGTTTTTCGCTAGTAATCTTTAGATTTTGAACCCACTTCACTGAAATGTCATGCTGTAGGAGTGAATTCCTCCTGTGCTCTGAACTTCATAAGCTGGAATTTCCCCAGTACTTGGCCTATTAGAAAACAGAGAAGTCTAGATTTTCCATTAGCCTGTACTTTGGGCAGTCATGTGCCGCCATGTATAAGGTGGCAGATATGGCTATCATTCCAATTAATAGTGGTTTTTGAACCAATTTATGCTCTTTTTTTTTTCTTGTTGTCTATGGCTTCATAAGGTATAAGGACCTGGCTTAGGTTTTCATAAGCCTGTAAATGCAATTCCATAATTAGGTTTGACATTCATGGCTCTTTATAGGATTTGTGTGCAAGAGTCTGCAGACCAAAAACTCTAACCCAGGAGTCATCCCCTGTGTAAGTCCTTTCAGCCAGTGGAGTTACATCAGGGTTGAGTTTGGCTCCCAGACTGGAAAAGTAAAAAGAGAAAGTTTGCTCATAGCCTTTCCCACATGATGCTCCTTGTGATTTCTCTCTTACCTCCAAGTCCTCACTGGTAAAAGGAAATGTTTGTCCATAAGCCTACAGTTTTTTTCCACCATGGCAGCCTGTGATGAAATTGTATAGCTGCTAATTTGAGTAAAAAGCAGTCCTAATTGTGGAAACTTGGCTTCCAGAGCCCTCTCCTCATCCAGGACCAAGTGCTAATGCAGGAGTCTCTTTGTAGAGAAACTGAAGGATTATTATTGCAGGACTTCTATCCTGACTGGTCGTGGAAGTGTCTGAAGAACAACTGCAGAACAATAATTCTACATTTTGATTTCTCAGGGCCATTTATTCAGGTCTTTTGATTTTTTAAGAAATTTTGGTTTTGCATGTATTATTCAGGCAAGCTGAGTCAGACACCTAAACCTCTGCTAAATAGGCAGCTGAGAAATGAAACAGGGAGGCAGTATCTTGCCAGTGGTGCAGGTGGGTGAAGTGAGACACGAAGGGAAGTTGCTCACAACATGCCCACATTTTTTCATTACCAGTGTTGCAGACCATGAAAGAAAGTGAGGGCCGCCTTCTTCTCTCTCTTCTTTATTCTGCCCCATTGCCATGTTGTATTTTTCAGGTGTTTTCAGTAGGTGCATCCCCTCCTGAACTGCACAGGTTCAGCCAGTTACTGTCTCTTTCAGGGTGGCTCAGCCACTGAGGATCCCAAATAACCTCTGCCTGAGGATCACAGTCCTCTCTTCACAGCAGTGCTAAAATAAATCATGCAGTGGTGGTAATGATGGTTAAAATTAGCATAGCTGATTATAATAGTTGATATGAATTATTTAATAATTTACTCAAGCCATTCTTACTAGAGTAGCACAGAGAGTACACTGTGTTACACACAAATTGTTTGCCTAAAACTTCTGTCCTTTCCGGTGCATTTGATCATTAGGATAATTAATTTTTAACTTTCCATTTCAGCAGAAAGTGTTCCTTAAAGCAGAACAATTAATTCTGAATAGTAAGCAGCTTACTGGGGTAAATAACCATGTACTTTGAGTCATACAGAGTTCCAGATTTGTGACCCCAAGGAACATAGGGCTGAACTGTATGAATTGCATCCTCAGCTGATAGAAATCATCTTAACCTTATGGAGGATATTAGAGTTACTCCAGTCTACATCAACTTAAACCCCGATCTTGTGAATTTGTTAGCAAAACTATTTAAACTGACTAAGGGTAGTTTTGGATTAGATGTTAGGAAGAAATTACTCCCTGTGGGAGTGGTGAGGCCCTGGCACAGGGTGCCCAGAGCAGCTGTGGCTGCCCCTGGATCCCTGGCAGTGCCCACAGCCAGGCTGGAGAGGGCTTGGAGTCAGCCTGGGACAGTGGGAGGTGTCCCTGCCATGGCAGGGGATGGAATGAGATGAGCTTTAAGTCCTTTCCAACCCAAACCAGTTTGTGATTTGTGAATTGGTGTTTAACCCCTGCTCAGCCAATCTTGTTGGTAAGACAATCCTAAAGATATTACAAGTTCAAGCAATAAATAAATCCATGGTGAGAGCAGAAATAGATCTGAAAACACCTGAGGCAAATTTCTCTGCTCTAACCCCTAAGCAATGCATGTTTTCTTTTGTCATAGTTTGGTCCAGTACGGGAGGGGGAAATATAGGTGAACGTGACTTCCCAATTTGCTGTCATTTTGTGTTGGATAGAGCACTCAAAAATGCTTTCTACACAGGCTCTTGACTTAAATCTACAGAAGGTCAGCATCAGAAAACACTTTTGTCAGTGTCTTGAGAAAAGGGGGTTAAGTGGACCTGAATTCTAAATCTTATTGCTTTTAATATAGTTGAATAAGCAGCTCATTCAGCTGTTACTAAGTTGGTGTGTTTTCCTGTTTTCCTGGCCTCCTAGAGAAGTGGGATCAGCATGTGATCTGTGTGCAGAAGGAAGAGTCCTGGTGCAGTACGCCTTCAGTGCCTCTTCTCCCATGCCCTGCGATCCCTCGGGACACTGGAGCCCACGGGAGGCAGAAGGTGAGTCACAGGGATGGGAACAAACACATGGTGGGAGAGAAGGTGGGACAGGGCAAAGGGAGAGCCACAAAGACAGTGGGAAAATCTGGGAATGGTCTGTTATATCTGCATGTAACCTGGACAGAGCTAGCAGGCAGAGGAACGCTGTGCCCTGAAGGAATGCCACTGGCTCAAATGCCTGTGTTTTGGCCCCTGAGTCCTGCCCCTGCCCATGAATTAAGTGAATTCCAGGAGCTGAACATGAATTTCACAAAGCAGCAGAGTGCCAAGAAATTCTGACCATTCACATCTGCCAGACGAATTCCTCAGGGGAGCTGTTTTCTCCCTCTACTCCAACTCCAAAAGTGAGGAGCTGTTATTTATTTGGGCCTGATTTGTGCTGCCTTCACTTGTGGTGAATAACAGCGGGCTGCAGCAGCAGCCAGGCTGGAAGGAGGTTGCTCTTTGGGCAAGTGCCCTGCAGCAGGAATGCAGGTGACCACGTCAAGCCCTCTTGTTCAGGGTGTTTTGCAAGTCATTCTCTTGGAGCCTGTTGCAGGGAGAATGGTCTGCAGGGCTGGTTGTGCAGTGCCATTAGATCTCCATCATTAACTCCTCCACACGTCCCTTCCGTTACGTCCCTGGGTGTATGTGGTGGAGCATATTTAAGATTGTACCAGGCAAAGGTCAGTTATCCCAAATCACACTTTGGAAAGAGTAGAGTATTATTTCAGCCTGTGCCTCATGAACTTTTCCTTCCGGAGCAGCCACCCTTCACCATGCGCACACAGGTGAGCTCACTGAGCCCCAAGGACAATCCTGGATTTTGCAAACTCATTATACAAGTACCTTCCTATGTTAAGGGTTTATTTGTCCTGCAACTAAAGCATGTGGGAGGTATTCTGCAAGGAATATTATTTGGGCAGGAGCTCTCCCTTGTCCTAAGGTCAGCATGTGGAATGAGCTGTGCCCCTGCTGCTTAATGGGACAGTGATCAGTGTCCTCTGCCCCACACACACGTGTCCCAGGGTGGGAGCCCAGCAGAGGTTGTGTTTCACTCTGACTCACCCCCTAAATTTAGAACAGGTTGCCCAGAGCAGCTGTGGCTTCCCCATTCCTGGAAGTGTCCAAGGACAGGTGGGATGGGTCTTGGAGGAACCTGGGATAGTGGAAGATGTCCCTGCCCATGGCAGGGGTGGAACTTTAAGGTCTTTTCCAAAGCAAACCATTCCATGGTTTCAGGACATCCAAGGCTGCTGGGCACAGCTCAGAGCACACCTGGCCTGTGGGTGGAAGCTCCATCCTGGGAAGCTGCGCTCTGGGTTTGAGGATGATTGGATCACCCAGTAAACATCATTAGCAAAGTTTGGATCACTTGCAGAAGCAGTTCAGGGTAGAAGGTGGAATTTCCACTTAGCCAAGGATCGCAAGACTTTGAAACCTGTTTTCATTTGGAACAAAACTTGAAACTTTTGAAATTCTCCATGAAGGAAAATTAAAAGCAAAAAGTGTTTGAGGCCAGCCAAAATGTTTTGTTTAGCTCGTATGGACTTTGGTTAAATTATGACAGTCGAAAATATACCCTTAGTATAGAATCTAGGGCAAAAGCAACTTTGAATATCAAAATGGAAAGTGTTTCAAGATGCAAAAGTGAAAAGGTTTCTCACAAAAATGTCAAAACACAATGTTCCAATAGTTAAAATAGTTCCAATAGTTAAAAATTTCTTGCTATTTTCCCTTCCAGGACAAAATTTTGGCCAAATAAACCAAATTTTGCAAAGTGTTTTTATTTTGAAAGGACTGTGTATTCCATTGAAATATGCAGTTCCATTAAAATTTCTTCACTGAGCTTTGATTTGAAAACTTCTAGATCTTGCACGTCTTGCCAGAGGCATCATTCCTAGAGAAACTAAGCTACTCTAAGATTTATTACTCAGCAGCATTTTGCATTTAATTTCCTCTTCTTGCTGTGTGTGCCTGCATGTTCTTAACTATGAAGGCTGCAGTCTGATCCTTATCTGTCTCATTTAGTTGCTCCTGTGCCACTTCTATGGAACAGAAATTTGGTAATCATGTCCTCTTGATTAATGAGTTGTTGCCACTTTAGGGTAGAAAGTATACCAAGTGTATGGTGTTTGTTGCTCCATGATTTTCTGTCTCCACTACCACACTCCCTGACACTCAGACCCTCTGCCTATTTGCACTTGCTCTGAGTTACAAATAGAAGTTAGATCATTGTTTGGCTTCTTTAATTGTCTATCTGTGACTACTCAAGCCGTCAAGCTTTAAATTCACTTTCTGCAGGGGTTTTTGTGTGTAAATCTCCACTGCTTGAATGTCCATGGAAAATGAAGACAAAAGAGGCACAAGCACCGCCAAAATTAACTTGTTTTAAAATCTGAGATGACACTCATTGAAAATGTTCCGTAGGACTCATTCAGCTTCTGAGCAGAAAACCACACTCCTCACATGTCTCTGGAGCAGCTCTGGTTGGTCTGATCTTTTTCCTGAGGTCTCCTACCCCAGGCAGCTGCACCAGCAGTGGTCTGGGCTGTGTGGGAGCTGTACCCATTGCAAAACCCTGCTGTGGGCAGTGTCCTTCCTAATTCCCTGCTCATTCCTGAGCATGGTGGAATCCAACATCAAGGCTGAGGCATCTTGTGGTTCTTTCTCAGCCAGTTGTGGCCCCTGAACGAGGGGCTCCTTGTTCCTTGGCGGAGGTTGTTAGAAGGCTCATGAGATCAGGCAGCTCTGATTTACTCTTTATCTTCACTGTAGAGACAGAAGGCTCTAGCCTACCTGGATTCTCACCAGCAGCACCAGCTAGGTCAACAAACCTTACAGCACCTCCATAACTCTGTCAAAGGGGGGTTTTATGTAAGAAAGGTGATTTTGGCTCAAGCCCAGTGGGTACCTTTGCTTGCTGTGCAATATGTGCATATATCAGTCAGTTCCTCCTGCCTGGCTCACTGCTGACTGAGAGAAGTGTGAGATTTTTTATAAAAATGTTGCTGCTGCCTTGTGCTGCTCTAGAGCTCAGCCTTTTCTTGGGTCTAATATTTCCCTCAAGAGCAATTCCTTCTGTATCTTAATAGTCCCAGCTGGACACTGGAGAATTGGGTTGTTCCTTTATCTTGACCACCTAAGAAATAAGGCAGGTGAGTTGCAGTTGAGGAAGAGGTCTACTCCTGATGTGAGATGGCCTCTGAGGCTCTGTCCCTGTGCTGGGGAATTCATCCCAGGGACTGCACTTAACTGCACAATGATGGATCCACACACCAGGCTGTAGGACAGCATTTCAGGGAAAGGCACCCTCCTAACTCCAACCCTGCTCTCAAACCAGGACATGGGGTTTGGCTCTTCCTCACAAAACTCACATTCCTGTTTTGTGTTAGGCAAGACGTGATGTTGCATGAGATGCTGTTCTCTGTCTGATCTGTCTCATAAGGCAAAGGATTTTCAAAATCCGAGTACGGAGGGAAGAATAGCTTCTATACTTTTTCTTTTAACATAAAAATATTTGTAATTTTCAGAGTATTTACCTATCTCTAGAAGTCCAGTTATATGAAATAAGGTTTTCGTCCTCTTCCATAATCAAATGAATCTTTCTCACCCGGGTCTAAATGTTTCATAATATTTAAGAAAGAGTATCTTTATCTCAATTTCATTGAGGTTTTTAGTTTATGAATGACTAAAATCTGCCACCTATTTTGGGGTAATGCTCTGTGTGCTGAGCTCCCTGGAGGCTGAGTCCAATTCATGCCTCTCCAGAGATTGCACACTGATGTACCCAAACATGCAGGTTTGTTTGGAATTTAAGTCTTACTGAGCCTTGAACTGACAGAGGTGAATTTGCAGGATCCCAGGTGGGGACGTACTGGGCTGTGAGCCATTAGCTCCATTTTCTTTTCTGCGAGAGGGCAGTGGTAAAATTCACACATCTTTCCAAAAGCCCTCTGAGATACTGGAGTTAAAAAAGACCTTAGGGCTGCAGTCAGGAGTTTGCTGTGGGTCTGAGGAAGTCGTCAGAGGGCTCAGCCAAGCACACCCAGCTGCCAATGAGGGTGAGATAACGTGAGCTGAATGGGGTATTGCTGCTCACAGTGATTATCCACAGGGCTCGCACACTTGCCAGGGGGGAAACTCGAGCGTGTTAAATGGGCCTCTGGCTCTCTTCAAAACGTATCACTGTTGTGGTCTCTCCAGATGCTGGTCTTAGTGGCATTCCCGCTGCTTTCTGCCATGTGAGGAGGAGAGAGGGGCTCTGGGATATGGGAGGTGAAGGGGAAGCATGAAAAGTTGGGCATCTGCAGGACAATAACGTTGAATCGCAGGAAGGCTGCCAGGAAATCTATTCTGCATCTGGGTTCATTTGGTATGAACAGGAGAATTCCCTGAGCTGTTTATCCTTGACAAAAGAGACACATTTCTAACACTTCATTGAATCACTGACAATCAGAATAACCTTCACACGTTGCCCTTTTCTCTTTAAATTAGTAGTGATGTCCTGTTTGTCCATGTATGCCCAATAGTTTATCTTGCTTTTTCCTCAGTTGCAAACAACTGTGCTGTCCTTTTTTTCCCCTCTGCCTTCTGCATTTCTCTCCTCTCATTACCTTTCTTTATCTTCTTTTCTGTACTTTGCCTTCTCCCTGTCATGCTTGCCTCCCTTTTTGTGTGATTATTTGGGTAGGAAAAGGGAATTTATAGCTCTCACTGGATTCTGTTACCAACTGTTCCACCCGTCTGACCCCTCTGGATCTTGCAGTCCATGACTCCACGCCAAGTTGTAATGTTACCATAGTATTTGGGAACCCAGCAAGCATTGTGGCTTTCATTATTTTTTAGTACTACCTCCCATGTAGTTGAACACAGCCAATGGTGAGAAGAGTAAAAGCACAAGTGCCTGTTGTTTCATCACAATGAGAGCAAAGAGACAGCTCAGACCTGTGCTCCATGTGCCTCCAAAAAAGGGGCCTTGCACAACATGCTAGATCAACCTGTAAATGCCACAGGAGTTGCCCCTGAACAGCACAACTGCTTCTTGGAACAAACAAAGGCTCTTTTCTTGTCTTTGTTAAAGGGAAAAAGATTGTATTTTTCAATGAGAGGCAAGGGAATAAGTAGGAGGTGAACTGGAGGCAAAGTGACTCTGTTTATCAGGTAAATTACCAAGTGGAAGAAGTAGAAAATACTATAGTTTGGCACAGGGCAAAACACTAGAAATAGGAAATACAGGCCCAGCTGCACTGGCACAGAGTCTGTTGTGTGGCGTCCAGTTCAGCTGGGCACTTAAACTGGGTTTGTGTCTCCCACCTGGCCAGGAGACACTGGTGTTCTGTTCCTCCTCCCCGTGCTGGCCCTGCCTGTTTTGATTAAGTAAATAATTGGTTTCCTGGACAGATATGTTCTCCTGCTACCAGTCTGTCTTTAAACTGATGCCAATGAAAACTCATGTTCTCTAACTTCTACTTCTTCTGTGCCCTCTCTTTGCCTCCTTCTTCCTTCCCAGGGCACCCTGACGTTGAGCAGCCCTGTAAATCCAGTGTCAGGACATGGAGTCCCAACTCGGCTGTCAACCAACACACGGTGCCCCCAGCCTGCCCCGAGCCCCAGGGCTGCTACCTGCAGCTGGAATTTCGCTACCCCCTGACTCCAGAGTCCCTCACAATCTGGGTGACATTTGTTTCCCCAGACTGGGACTCCAGTGGAGCAGTGAATGACATCAAGCTGCTCACTGTCAGCGGGAAGAACATTTCGCTCGGGCCACAGAATGTCTTCTGTGACATCCCACTGACCATAAAGCTGGATGTGGGACAAGTGGGAGAGGAGGTGTATGGGATCCAGATCTACACCTTGGATGAGCACCTGGAAATCGACGCTGCCATGCTGAGCTCTGTCCCCCACAGCACCCTGTGCTCAGGCTGCAAACCCATCCAGTACAAAGTGGTGCGGGACCCCCCTTTCCAGTCTGGATCTCCAGTGGTCATCTCAAACCTCAGTAGGAGATTTGTGGACACGTAAGTAGCTGCTTTCCAGACAGCTAGATAGATCAAAACAATGCCCTGTTCTTCTCACCCTTCTAATGTCCAGCACTACAAGTGATTGTTGAGGTGTTGAATTAGACAGACATGACAAGAATTACCAAGTCAGGATATCTGCATAGTTTGTCCCTGAAACCAGGAGCATTAAACCCAAATGAGATAACCTGAGATTTCATTGAGAGTTTTTGAGAAATTTCTGGGCTGTCTGTACAGAGATGTGTCATTCAGACTTTCTTTAACTAGAAAGGATAATGCAGTCTACGTAAGGTATGATAAATTAAATGTTCAGGCTAACCTAAATGAGGACCTCTGGAATAACATGCTCACCATTTCCTTGGCAATCTTTTGAAAATAATGTTTTTGGTGGAGAAGGAGAAAGCAGGGCTTTCAGTGCTGGAGCACCAATTAACTGCTCAAAAAAGTGTGTAAAGAAATACACATGCATGTTCAAGTGTATAGATGTGTTTCACCTACTTCCATTTTCTGCTTTCATGGGTCACTAAACCAATTGTGTTGGTGTGAGATTGTTCTGAAATGAGAAACATGGCAAATGCACTAGTTTGTTGTAGAAACTGAGTGTCATCCCAGATACAGTTACAGTCATCTAGTAAAAGGATGCATTACTGTTGAGGAAAGTTCAAAATATTTACTAATTTCAAGGAGATCCGTGATCTACCCATAAGCATTTGCCAGGAACTAAAATATCTTTTGCATAACATGATTCCCTGGAAATGATTCACTCATCTGTGGGAGCAACATGAAGCTCTTTTGAAAAATGAACACCAGATAAAAGGAAACCTGCTAAGAAAACTGCACTCTAATTTAGAAAAGATGATCTAATTAGTACAGCTAATATCAAGGAAGCATACATCATTACGGTCTTCTAAAGCATATTTAAATAGAATAAAAATGATTAATTAACAATTCAGTAGTCATGAGCTACCATCCCTTTTCATGGCCCAATTATGCATCTCAGAAGATGCAAATTGTCCCTACAGATTTAAAAAATTAAGGTAACTAACAATAGTGAATCTAAAAACAAAATGCAGGACATCACTAAGATTACTCATGTGCTGAAAGTTAAGCATGTGCTTAAGTGCTTTCTTGGGTTGTAGCCTTTTTCAGACAATTGCTGGCACTTAGCATGAGATGGATATTGGCATATTGGAAATGTGGAAAGTAGTGAATTTTCCCAAGATTTTGCTGTGAAAGCATCTTTGCCTGAAACCTAGCCCACTCTCACTGGAAAATGGGACTGGTTTGGTTTGAAATATTTGCATACCTTAGCACAAGTTCCCACACAAACAGGTCCAGTTTTGACTCATAACACAATATGAAAGAAAAAAGAGAAACCCAAAACATAATTTGTATTCTGAATTCTATTTCTACGTCTTTTGTTGAAGTTCCCACAGAAACAGGTCCAGTTTTGACTTCATAACACAATGTGAAAGAAAAAAGAGAAACCCAAAACATAATTTGTATTCTGAATTCTATTTCTACGCCTTTTGTTATGATTTTGTGGGTCACTTCAAGCTTACAGATAGCTCAGGTGGAGAAGTGCTCTAAGAATTAACTCAGCCAGGAATTAATGACAGTTTTGCTGAGGGCCATTGATTAAATCACATTGGGTAACAGCACTATCCCTGTCTGTATGTCTCGGGTAGTTACACAGCCAACTAAGAATCAGACAGAACACTTAATTTAGTCTTTCTGGGCTCCACCTGTGATCAGTGGACAGAAATGAATGCTCCTGGAAGCTGGCACAGCCAACCTCACAACCAAATCCCATCCAAACCCTCCAGGCCAGCTGGGCTCACTTCCTCTGTGTCTTACCGGGTACCAGAGGGAAAATCCTGCCAGTGAGCTCTGGCAGGACACTTGGGAAGAGAAATTTTAGTCACTGGGTGAGGAGATATGCAGATTCTTCAGCAATCATAGATGGCTTTGTGACTGTTTTGGCTGAATGAGGATGGGCAGGCCCTGGCACAGGGTGTCCAGAGAAGCTGTGGCTGCCCCTGGATCCCTGGAAGTGTCCAAGGCCAAGTTGGACAGGGCTTGGAGTGGTCTGGGATAATGGAAAGGGTCCCTGCCCATGGCAGAGGGTTTGGAGCAAGATGATCTTTAAACCAGTCTGTGATTGTGTGATTCAAGACTTCTGAATGTGTTTGAACTTTTGAGAAGTGAGATTAATTTTTATCATGTCATCCAGGCACAGCACTGCTCTGTATCCCCTGGTGATGGGGAGATCCAGAGGCTGCTGCTGGACCATTCCTTGAAACACAACAAACTCCTTGAAACTTTGCATGGGGTTGTGGTTTTCTGTAGAGGCAAAAGCATTATGAATTTCCATTGGAACCCTGTGCAAAGACTAGCCAGAGTCTTTGCACTCCCTAAGCAGGAAGGAAAGGACAAGGGAATTCAGGGACAGGGGCATTGGGCCATGCTCCTACTTATGAATGTGTATAGAGGTAAATACTGTCTCTCTCCCCTGTTCACATCTGCCTGTTTACTTCATTCTGCACCACTGGAATTCAGCATATTTGTGCATCCAGACATTGCAGCCTCTTTATCTCCCTGTGAGCCCCAAGCCAGTTGCCCCTCCTTGGTGCCCTTGCATGTTTTCCATATTAAATAAAACAACACCCCCACATGTTCTGTGGAAGGCTATTTTGAAGGCAGTCACATATCTTTATTCTTGCCTCCTCTGACCTTGATCTTTACTTTCTCTTTTTCTCCCAAAGAAAATATTTGCTTGCACTGTTATCTGTAAGCAAGATCCTTTCCCCAGGTGTGGCGATGTTGAAAGAAAAATTAATTTCTTCTACCTTCTTCCTGTCAGAGAGAGGGAACTTCCTTTTAAGCTGAGAGGAGAGACAACCTTTAATGGATAGCCCTTGCCTAGTCAGCACTGGGTGCTCCGCAGAGGAGAGTAAATAACTAGAACAGTGGAAACATTTTATTAAGAAATGCAAAATAATGCCAGACCTTCTGTTCTCAAGCTGAATTTTGATCTCAAGTCTTGGCTCAAGCTGAGGCTTAAACATTCATTTCTGAGGGACAGGACCTTATTCAGGACCTTATCCTTGGACTTTACAGAAACCAGGCAAGATACACTCAATTCCACTGTGTGTGATCAGCCAGAATTGCTGGTATCTGGCATACAAAATGAGAGTTAGATCCTAGGAGAAGAGAAGAAACCTAAATAAATCAGTGGGGGGAAAAAGAGGTCAGGCCAGGTGCAGCATAGAAGTGCTGAGTCTTCACACCACAGCAACTGATAAAGAAGGAGCCTCATCTGCAAGTCTCAAAGTCTCAGCTCACAATTTAATCCAGTGTGTGGGTTGTGCACATGCTCAGAGGCTGTTCTCTAGAAATACTGTGTGACATGGTCACAATGGCAATTGAGGTAGTGGCTTTTTGCCCTTACTGGATTTTTTTACGCTCCCATTTTTGTGTTGGAGTGTAATCATTGCTGTTTTCTTAAGAGCTCAGTGAGCAGGCAGTGCCCAGAGCTCTCTGGATGGTGTCAGTCCCCCCAGGGCAGTCTGGGGTGGGCAGTCCATGTTCCCCATGGCACTCCCAGTATCCCACTTTGTGAGCAGTGAGGAGCTGAGTACACTTACAAGACCTGTGTGCTCTCCTCTGGCAGTCCAAGCCAAGAGACACAGAGGTTGGTTTTGGAAAGTCGTCAGATTAACTGAAAAAGTTTCAGAGTTGGAAATTTTCCCAAGTTTTCTGCCACAAACTTTGTAAGAAGCCTCAAAGTGTGGTGGACAGCACTGGATCAGGTTGTCTTTGTGGTGTTAACCAGTAGGGTTTTTTCAAGACAAAGGCATTGACTGAAATAACCTGAGAAAGAATCTCAGCACGAAGCCTTGGTACAAAGTTTGGGTTTGCAGAATTGAGCTTCACTGAGAAGCCAGTTTGCAGTCCTGTGATATGTTATTCTGAGCCATTCCTTCCAGAACTTTGGTACCGAGCTGACACATAGAGATCCTGCATTCAGACTTCAAAAAAGAAACACTGAGAGAGAAGCTTGCATTTTCTTGTACAGGGAATAGGTTTTTCTTCTCAATTTTGGCTATTTTGCACTGACATTCTATGGCTAAACCTTTTCTGTTGCTTGATAATAGTTGGAGGGGACTGATCATCATCTGTGTAAACAGCAGTTCTTGTTCAAGTAAGTGCAATATTTTAAAGTATGTTGTTAGGATCAGGACTTCCATTCAGTGCTGAACTTATAAAATCCATGTCATTTCTTGGGCTTTAAGCCTGTTTTAACACCTCAAGGTGGTGGACTAAGATCTCACTCTGGCTTCCTGGAGTGTTTGCAGAATGACAGAGAAATTGCCACCCTCAGGATGGCAGATGGCTAGAGGGCTCCTGTGGCACTCTTTGTGGGTCCTCAGGGTTTCATTGCTCATGGGTCCTTAGCAGTTCACAAGCTTTAGCCCTCTACATCATCCAACACAATAATTTGTTTCCAAATTTGCCTTATTGATTCATATAGCGTTTGTTACTGGTCCCCAGTTGGAAGGGGCATATGGTCAGTGACTCGTCAGAAATCCCAGATGAGGAAAAATTGAGACAAATGGAAAGTGACTCTTCAGTCTGAAGGGTCCTACAAATATGAACAAGCAGAGAGGCTGGAGAATCAGCAGTAGCTGTTCATAATGAGCAAGACAAAAGATTTTCTTTTTCCATTGACAAATCTATTTTGAGCTTTCTTAAGAAGTAAATACCTTTCTATCCCACCTGTAATTTCCTTACAGTCACTTATTGGTGTGCCTTTCAGCCCCTGAAATCAAGAAGAAGAGTGCATTTACCTGACCCTGGCCCAGCTGAATGGGACTGGGAGATTATGAATATCACATTGATGATATCCAAACCTAAGTCCCTGCAAAATGTAACACCAAAACTTCACAGTGGCATCTGTCCTTATTATGGCATTCCTTCCTTCACCTCAAAGATCTATT